CCCAAAGTTTTAAAAAAATAATAAATATATATTAGCAGCCAAGCAAACAAAAAAATTTCTAAAAGAGATTGGTTTTATACTAAAGATTTGTCTTCAAAACTATCTTATTTTGCTCTAAACCAATATAAGTAAGTTTTTTTTAAGTTTAAATAATATTTGTGAAATCATATGTAGAGGTATCTACAATTTAGCTATCAGAGCATGTTTACAAGTACATGTTTAAATAAACTGTAACTATAATCAGTCAAAAAACAATCACTATCCTTGCAGATTGAGAAGGCAGCATCCTCACTGTCCAGCAAATTTGATTTAAAAAATTTTTTTCCTTAGTCTCATTAGACTAATACCAATGTACAGACTTTATTCTGTAGGGAAATCAACTAGTTTCTGACCAACAGGCTATATAGGTAGTTTTAAACCCTGAAAATGTCTACATAAATCCATTTTCAGAACCTGGTTCTAAGTCAGACTATTATCTAAACAATTTTAATTTAAAATATTATTATTCTGTTGTTTTGGTATTTCATTTAAAAAACATAATTGTATAGTTCTGCTACTTTAATTTTTAAAAATGTATAGTTTAGGTATTTTAATTAAAATAATAATATTCTATAATTTTGCTATTTAAAAATATTTATAGTTTAGGTATTTTAATTATTTTATTTTAAATAACATTATTCTATAGTTTGGGTATTTTAATTTTTAAAAATATTATTTATAGAATAGGTATTTTAATTAAAATAACATTATTCTATACTTTTGCTATTTAAAAATATATATATATATATAGTTTAGGTATTTTAATAATTTAATTATAGCTTAGTTAAAGCTTTTATGTTATCATCTTAAATATTTTTATGTGCTATATATGTACGGTCGCTAGATTTTAATTACCTTTTATATGTTTTTGTTGTAATACATTATTTGCAACCTCTGTTGATTAGGAAACTTTACTTTTTTATCACTGTTACCATTTTTATCATTTTACCTTTAGCAATTTGGTTTTGTATCAATGGCCAATACAGAACCTTTTTACCATAATGAAAAATACAAGCTTTTGTATGGTGCTAAATGGCTTCATTGTGTTGGTGCAACATAAAAATTCAACTAGCCAACCAACTATCCAATAATTTAATTTAAATAACATTATTATATAGTTTGGGTATTTGTTAAAAAATAATATTAACCTATAGTTTCAGGATTTTAATTTAAACAAACATTATTCTATAATTTTAGTATTATTTTTTTTTTTCATGGATGCAAATGCATTTCAGAACACAAACAATTTTGTTTCTTGAAAGTTCCATGCAAATGCAAATATTTTCTTTTTTCTTAGATTTATTTCTTTCATCGTTGTTTTCATTTTCTCGCCAAAATAGCCATAAATCTGATGGAAATTCATTGCTGATAACTTTTTAAAACTCTTCAGTCCATTGAGGGTTTTCAGAGAGTCATAACAATTTATAAAATGTTAGAGGCCAACATTACACTTGCACTTATTATTTTAACTATTTTAACTTTTTCCTTGTAAATTAGGGCATATATATATATGTATGTGTGTGTGTGTGTGTGTGTGTGTGTGTGTGTGTGTGTGTGTGTGTGTGTGTGTGTGTGTGAATCTCACCTTTTGATATTTTGATCACTTGTACATCTCCCAGCTGACTTGAGAGCCTCATTTTGGAATGGCAAGATTTTGCAGAAGAACCTGTGAGCATTTTAGGGGGATATTGTTAAACTAGTCCATTGCATGTAGTCTTCAATGCAGCATATACTTGTAATGATGTGTCAGAAATTTACAAATGCCTGTAAACTTTCAAATCAAAAAGGAAAATGATCATGGAAATAATTTAAAAAATAACAACCATAGTAATAACAAATTAAATTAATTTCAGAATGTCTGTTAAAATATCGACTCTTGGAAATCTTTCTTACTATATCTAATCTTTAAAATGATGTCATACATTGTTAGTTGCACAATAAGGTCCTGTGAAGGCTGGTAAAATATGATTTAACATTACTTACAATCAGAAATACTTCCCAATAAGAACAAGACATTTGAAGTAGATAGTTTTTCACACTGCTATGGCATTCAGTGGGGCATTTTATGTCTTTGTTGCCCCATCAATATTTGGAAATATTTTTTGTTTAATTTTTTATGGGGACAATATAGTTTGGGATGTCAGAATGCTCAGGGTGCAACAAAATGGGAAATAAAAGAGGGATTTCCCAGTACATAAATTTAAATATGGATGAATTTGCAGTTTTTTTGGTGCAAAATTACTGAAAATTAATACCCAGGCAAATAAATGAATTTCACGGCAATTAAACTATACCCTAGTGCAGGCAAACTTAACACCAGCAATATATCATGCCTTAAATTAATGTTCTGGCCTGACTACTCAAATACTGTCTGCAACTGTCCTAATGACTTCTGTGCCTTGATAACGAAATGAGTTACTTGTGTATAGTACAACATAAGACACTTGATACATAAAATGACTTACCTGTGTTTTGTACAACAACATCCTTGCAAAAGCAAATATTTTATTTTCTCATATCACACCTAAATACATTACATACTCACAGGACAGTTCAAATGCAAACTACATAGACCCAGATTCAAGATCGAATAATGTGCCAGCATATCTGGATCAATGAAATTTGCTGAAGCAATCAGCATAGATGTTGCTTGCAGTTGGACCTTAAATGAATGCTATTCTCTGTGTTATCAGTATCTCAACAAAACTATTTTTTTCATTCTTTTTTCTATTACACAGCCATGGATCTAACCATGAATTAATATACTTCTATCTTCAACCTTCAAACTGCTCTTAACCTTGCTTAACTGATGCCCCCAGTCTTAGTGACCATATTTTATCTTTGATCAAGCCACCTTTTCCATTAGCTTCACATTAGCTTGGGTCTGGGGCACAAAGACCACAATTAGCTTCATAATTAGTTGAATTCCTGGCACCATGACATATATATATATATATAAATTCTGTTGATGCATGTATACATGATGATCATTTATGTTTTGCTCTACAAGTGTCAACTGTAGAAATTTAAAGAGCAATCTGAACAACAGAGACAACTTCCTTTTTTTTAATAACCTCCATATTCCAGAATATTAAAATATGTATACCTTATTAACAATAAATGACTTATTTAGAAATCAAGAAATTTTTTAAGAAATTTTATTTGCATTCATTATATACTCACACACCAATATTATTTGTCCAAACAAATTTCATAGAGGAAAGGGGTCCAGCTTGTAAGCACTATGTCTTATCAGATTGTTCTGAGCTAAAAATAGAACTGATCTTAAAATGCTTAAGTGTTTTCTTTATAATATGTTGTATTTGCTAAATCCCAGCTATAAAGCCACATATAAGCTATAATCTACCTGCCTTGGGAATATTACTGCCACCTTGTGTTTGATCTATAAAGGTTGCTGCAGAGTTAATCTTATGCAAGGTTACCATAACCAGCCAGAGACCAGAAACTTGAGTCAGCAAATATGACCCACTTTATCATTTGCCATTATCACACCTATATGTTAAAGGTTAGTTCAAGGATCAAAATGAAAGTCCACAGGGTGAATGGGATATGTTTGTATCTGTTCAAATGTCAACAGACATTGAGAGGGACATTGTCCGCTATGTTTGATTGGATCATTTCATCCAATCCAAATTGAGATAGAGGGCCTGACTGATACCTGCTGAAATCAAAAAGAGTAAGTTAGTATTCACCTGGAAATATTGCAGATCAATAGGGTTGTCTGAGAAAAAAAAAGACACTTATAATATGGCAGCAAAACTTAAGAGATTGATTCTAAAAAAAGACAAAGCTTTGGTCAGTAAGTTATTTGCTTGATTTTTGCAGAATATTACCACATTATAATTGTAATTATCTGGTATATGTACACTTAATTACTGTGATCATTAGTATGTAGAATTACCTTTGTAGTGTTTCATTTACATGCATATTTGAGAAATGGGCTTGAACCTAATGTAGAGAAGTAGTAGATATGAGGCAGAATCATGTAGATTGTCAGCTTGTGGTCAGAATAATATTTTTAATTCAATATTAGGTTAATTTGTAGTAAACCAGTGCATTTATTAATGAGTTATGTTAGACATTACATGTGCTTGAATTGTAAATTCGGAAACATGGTTGAAGTATGTAAAATTACATACTATGAATGCAAGCATATATCAGGGCATGGATATTTTGAATATCTGTATACTTTGTAAGAGTCATAAGGTAAAGAAATGCATCTAATTTTTGTGATATTGTTTAGCATAATGAAATTAAGACTATTTATTGATGTTACGGAATTTACTGATGTATGCATAAGAAGTAATTGATACTGTTTTGTTTATTAAGCTGTTTTACCATACATGAATGTATGGGTATCTTGTTGTGAATGAATGCATGACCAAAGAAATATAATAGCTGTTATTTGTGTGCAAGTGTGAGATGAGAGGGCCAAGGAAAAGACTGTAATGTCCTTGTTTTTCACAGGAAGCTTTTTAGGAGACAGAGAACTTCCAGTTCCATTGGGTCCCAAGTCTTCAAGAGTTGGAGATGGAAATGGGACTCTAACTGAGACAATCATAGTCAATAGAAGTGTACTCATGGGGGAAAGTGGAGGAGGAAGAGAACCATTCTAGAGAAAGTCAAGAGAATGAATTTGGAGAATTATTGGGGAAGAACAGAGACAGAATTGGAAGAAATAAGAGAGATAAAAGGCATGTGTGATGTGATTATGATTTTTAACATAGCTTTAACATTTTTTTAGTCATATCACTATGATGTCTGCAGTGTGGCAGTTTATAGTGATGTCTAGCACTGGGGCATCATGCCGAAGACAAGTAGTATGATGTCCCACCCAGTCACATTATCCTGACACCAGCTCGATCAGTCCTAACACTAATCTCTTAATGCTAAGTGTCAAGTGGGGCAACTGTAAGTATCATTTTTGTAAGTCTTTGGTATGACTCGACTGGGGATTGAACCCATGACCTCCCGCATCTGCAGCAGATGCTCTAACCACTAGGCCATGGAGGCGTTTAGAGAGAAAGGGTACAAAAGATGAATTGACATACAAAGACAGGTGGAAATTAATCACCCACTGCTAATCAAGTGATGCATAAGCTTATTAAGGGTCAAGTGGAAAAAGCGTAATTTGAAATTTGAATCATTTGGTTAATGAATTGATATTAAATTGAATTGTTATTAAATTATTATTCATTGAATTTCAACCTTTTATATTTTTAGCCATCTAACAATCTACACTGCTTACAAGGAGCTCGGAGCTTTACATCTATCTTTCACTAATTTTAACTTCCAACAAAGTGTTGTAGACCCCTCTTCAATTTTATTTTGATGGTTTACCTGGTTTTGGCTATCATTTTCTAGATGTGATTACTGATGGTGTAATTTGCCCAGAACAAGTAAATGTCAATAAAAAGTATGAAACCTATGGGTAGAATAAATAAAAATCTGAGCAGATATATAGAATAGAATAACATGAGCCCCTGTTACAAATAAAGACAAAATTTATTCAAAATTCAAAACAATAAAATTCACAAACAAGTGTGATAAACATTACAATATGAAAGATACACTTCTTTCTTTTTGAATCAAATTATTCAAGAATTTAAAAAATACAAATAAGATTATGTCAATAACTAATTTGTTAAATCACCTTGCAAAAATATAAACAAAAGCACCATAAATCTTCCATCACATTATACTGAGGATAAATCATTACTTTTACCACTCCTTAAGTTAGATATAATTCTATTGGAATTAAAACCAGACCATGGCTATCTAGCCTAATTGATCATGACAGACCATACAAATCTCGTTTCACAAAATTAATGGTCATCTAATTTCCATTTCAACAACACACAGAGACATTAGTTCCAGACTCATCCCATTACACAAGAGAATTAATGAAATTCTTTACACTACAGTATGAATAACATCAATCAAGTAGTTATCCTACATGAACTCATATGAGAACTCAAATGGATTCTTGCTATCTCAGCTAAAATACAACATTAAATTCAAGATACATAACCCTATATATAAATGTGATACACCCCCTCCCAACTTTGTTGGGGTGGGTGTTATGGGTTTGGTTATCATTATTTTAAGGTCCTCGCCAACGGCATAATTTGCCAAGGATGAGTAAATATCAATAGAAATTAAAAAAGTTATGATCGGAATAGATAAAGAGCTGAGTAGGTATATAGAACAGAATAAAAAAAAGCCCCATTACAAATAAAGACAGAATTTAATAAAAATGTCTAAGAATACAGTTCATAAACAAAAGTAATTAATAATACATTACGATTGAAAAGAAACACTTCTTTCTTTGTGACTTAACTTATTGCATGAATTTTCAAATAAAAAGAAATAATGATACCAATAGCTGATCTGATAAGTGATAGAATTTAAATCATCATTTACATCAAGTGAAATATATTGAAAACATTGCCTCGTACAGTTTCATAACAAATAGAGCCTCAGTGGGGCAGGAGATTTTTGTGTCCGAATTCCACAACGACTATTCCTTTTGACTTTCTTTTCCAAATTTACAGGTGCCCAGTCCCTTTCACCCCTTTCAACCTTGTGTCCACTTCGGGTTCATAAGACATAATATGTATACTGTAGGTCATAGAGCATAGAATTTCAAGCTATTCCGGCCACTTAAAAAAAAACAAAAATAAACAATCTTTCGTCACATTATACTGGGGGAATAGATCAATACTTTTCCCCTCTCAGTAAGTCAGATAAATTCTATCTTAATTTCAAATAGATTCAATGGCTATCTGGTCTAACTGGCCATGACAGACCATAACAACCTTGTTTCACAAAATTAATGGTCCACTAAATGGTGCTATTATAATGCCCCTATCAAGAGATTAGTTTCAGACTAGTTTCAATTACACAAATGAATGAAATTCCTTGCTACTGTATTTATAACAACAACCAAGTGTTAATCAAAGGTGAACTCATATATAGGTCAAAGAATTCATACTGAATCTCATATCTCAACTAAAATAAGGCATAAAATTCTAAATACATAATTTCCACTAATAAATGAAACTAAGTTCAACAAGTAGTCCATGTTTATATAAAGAAAAATATTATTGTACAGACTCATATAAACAAACTCAACACAGGTATACCATATCAGGAAATTAACTCTACAATCTTAAACAAATAAGTCCATGCAAATACATTGAAATAAATCAAATGAAGCATCATATTAGTATCAACAAATTACATAAGATTGTTACAAATACCTTGTTTTTTCCAAGCTCTTACTTCCAGAACATGTCTGTCAATTTTTCCAGACAATTCTTTCCCTCTTGAATACATTTTAATGAGAGATTTGCTCATTTAATTCTCAGAGTCACTCCAAGTCTTATATGGTTTCCTCTTGCAGAAAAGTACAGACTGAAGTTAAAATTTGCTATTTGCACATTTAAACTGAGTTTTTAATGTGTGACAATACCTCAATCACAAAGTAACCTATCAAGATTTTAAAAAATCTCTTGCCCCACTAAATTCGAACTCTGCCCTGCGGCTGACAACAAATGGCTACCAACTGTTTTCTGGTCAATGTCCCAAATATCAGCTTCCATACAAACCACTAAATTCGAACTCTGCCCTGTGGCTGACAACAAATGGCTACCAACTGTTTTCTGGTCAATGTCTCAAATATCAGCTTCTATACAAACCACTAAATTCGAACTCTGCCCTGTGGCTGACAACAAATGGCTACCAACTGTTTTCTGGTCAATGTCCCAAATGTCAGCTTCCATACAAACCATAACTTGAACTTTGTTTCAGTAAGCTTAAAGAAACTAAGCCCTTAATTATATATTGATAACTCCTGTGGCCATTCTCCATAAATCTGGTTAATCATACATGTGTCCAACTAAATGTGTTCTACTGAAATTAAAAATACATAAAACAGAGATGAATCTATAAATTTGGTCCTTTACAATAAATAAGGCATAAAATTCTAGACACATAATATCCTAAATAAAATAAGGCATTAAATTTTAGATACATGACTTTCTAGTATAATTGAGACTATATCTTAAGCAAGCTGTCAATGTATATATAAAGAAAAAAATATCATTGTACAGAGTTAATAAATGAACTCAACACAGTTATACCATATAAACAAAAATTGATCTATGAATTTAAACAATTAAATCCATGCAAATAAAACAAACAAATCATCATAGTATTATCAATGAATTACATTAGATTAGTGAAAATACCTTGTGTTTTTCAAGCTTTAGTTTGTCAATTTCTCCAGACAAATGTCTCCCCTGGATGATTTTTGGAGTCAATTTTGCTTTTTGAATTACTCAGAATCTTCTTACTTTCTTATGTTCATTTTCTCTTGTAGAAAAGCGTAGACTAATTATTGAATTTGCTATTAGCACATTTAAAGAGAGTTTTCATGTGAAACCATGCCCCCTTCACAGAGTGTCCAATGGAGATGAAATATAATTCCCACCTGAGATGGAATCAAACAATGCAGTTCATCTGACAACTATGGTTACACAACTGATTCTTGGTAACCTTCAAGAAAGACAATTTTCCATACAGATCAGAATTGACCTTCATTCAGTTCAGTTTAAACAAATGTAGCCCTCAATTAAATATCGCAAAATCAGGACAGAGCCTGTACAAATCCATGCATTATGGTGATTTAAACACTTCAGGTCTCCATAATCAAATTAATTGTACACATGTCTAACTACAGATGTCCTACAGGATCGACAACAAAATTTGCTCCATTACATGGGAAATTCGAAAATAGTTTAAATACAATATTGGGAACACCCCACCCAAACCATAGAGTTTATCAAATAATAATAATAATAATAATAATAATAATAATAATAATAATAATAATAATAATAATAATAATAATAATAATAATAATAATAATAATAATAATAATAATAATAATAATAATAATAATAATAATAATAATAATAATAAAAATCTTATATACAGAACTAATCTACCTATTTATTATAAATCTGGCCTGACACTAAAAAAGTGATTCTAAAAATCAAAGTATCAAGCCCTGATTATTATAGAGCAATGCATTCTGTTTGCTACTTATATATAAATAAATAGAAAGAAAATTTATGTAAATTATGATTTATTTGCAATTTAATGCTTATATATAATTATAATAATTTTAAGAAAATAAGCAAAAGTTGCCAATAAATACAAGTCTAATTCATTTATTAAAAGTAGTACATGCAATTCCATAAAATAATCAAGTTATTGGGTTTCATTTCTTAGTCATTGAAATATATGGTACAGTTTTTGCTGTTCCATGTGAAGATGTGGTGTAAAAGGTACTTATGTTAATTACTCATGTATGATAACCAACAATATCCATTCTGCTGCCTTTTATCTCACTGTTACAAGTGACACATGCTGTGATCACCAGTCATGCTACAACAAACCAACTGCAGTTGGCAATTGTCTTTGATTAATGACCACCATCCACTTTGCTATAATGGTAGGACACTCTTTTGAATCTTATGATATATTGGTATTGGCACATCACTCATCAAATCCTACGATGAATCAGTTTGGCATGTCACTCCATCAAATCTTATGATGTATGGGTTTGGCATGTCACTTTGTAGAATCTTATGATTTATCATTAATATGGCATGTCACTTCGTTGATTCCTATGATGTAACAGTAATATTGCATGTCACTTCATTGAATATTATGATGTATCATTAATATTGCATGTCACTTCATCGAATCTCATGATGTATTAGTAATATGGCATGTTACTTCATGGAATCTTATGTCACTGATAATATGGCCACTTCATCAAATATTATGATGTATCAGTAATATGGCATGTCACTTCATCAAATATTATGATGTATCAGTAATATGGCATGTCACTTCATCAAATCTTATGATGTATCAGTAATATGGCATGTCACTTCATCAAATCTTTTGATGTACCAGCAACTTGGCAGGATACTTTTTGT